GCCATTTGACTGGTTTCCCTAATAAAGTTCCTTAATGTTGCTTACGTGTCTCGTGTCGACAAGAATAGGCTTTCACCGGGACAAAGTTTCGACCTGTGTAGAGCTTTATCGAGTCATGACTTGCAAAAGATTAACAAAGATCAAAACGCTGATCCAATAAAAGTGTGTTCTAAAAAGAGTACCTGAGCTTCACTATGTCTGCAGCACTATGTCACCTTGCCCTAGTCAGGGCAGGGTTAAGTCAAGGTTACGTGAGGTTAGGTCAAGTTCAGATAAGTCAGGTCATGCCAGAACAAGGTGGGTAATGCGGCCTGTGGCTGATGTGAGAGGGAACTCTCGTGATAGTGACAGTGTTCACAGCTGAGACTCGAAAAAATCAAACACATCTTTCTAAAAGAATGTCGGGTTTTGTAATGTAATTCGAAACTATCGAGAAAGAAACGCTCTCACTATGCTCAAAAGGTTTTTCCTTACGGTACGGTTTCAGCAGGGGTTTCTGGATTCAGTAGAGGGTTTCTCCGTATACAGGTGACAGGTCCTTAGCTTCGAACTATAGACCAATAAGCCTAACCTCCATAGTGGGAAAATTTATGGAATCAATAATTGCCGAGGCAGTTCGTAGCCGCCTTGAAAAGCATAAATTAATCAACGAATCTCAGCATGGTTTTACAAAGGGGCGTTCCTGCCTTACGAATTTATTAACTTTTTTCACTAAGGTATTTGAGGAGGTAGATCATGGTAATGAATATGATATTGTGTATATGGACTTCAGTAAGGCTTTTGACAGGGTCCCACATCAGAGACTATTGAGGAAAACTAAAGCACATGGAATAGGAGGAGAAATTTTTTCCTGGATAGAGGCATGGTTGACAAATAGGCAGAAGAGTGTTTGCATAAATGGGGAGAAATCAGAGTGGGGAAGCGTCACGAGCGGTGTTCCACAGGGGTCGGTGTTGGGCCCCCTGCTGTTCACAATCTACATAAACGACATAGATGAGGGCATAAAGAGCGACATCGGCAAGTTTGCCGATGACACCAAAATAGGCCGTCGAATTCATTCTGACGAGGACATTAGAGCACTCCAGGAAGATTTGAATAGACTGATGCAGTGGTCGGAGAAGTGGCAGATGCAGTTTAATATAGACAAATGCAAAGTTCTAAATGTTGGACAGGACAATAACCATGCCACATATAAACTAAATAATGTAGATCTTAATATTACGGATTGCGAAAAAGATTTAGGAGTTCTGGTTAGCAGTAATCTGAAACCAAGACAACAGTGCATAAGTGTTCGCAATAAAGCTAATAGAATCCTTGGCTTCATATCAAGAAGCATAAATAATAGGAGTCCTCAGGTTGTTCTTCAACTCTATACATCCTTGGTTAGGCCTCATTTAGATTATGCTGCACAGTTTTGGTCACCGTATTACAGAATGGATATAAATTCTCTGGAAAATGTACAAAGGAGGATGACAAAGTTGATCCCATGTATCAGAAACCTTCCTATGAGGATAGACTAAGGGCCCTGAATCTGCACTCTCTAGAAAGACGTAGAATTAGGGGGGATATGATTGAGGTGTATAAATGGAAGACAGGAATAAATAAAGGGGATGTAAATAGTGTGCTGAAAATATCTAGCCTAGATAGGACTCGCAGCAATGGTTTTAAGTTGGAAAAATTCAGATTCAGGAAGGATATAGGAAAGTACTGGTTTGGTAATAGAGTTGTGGATGAGTGGAACAAACTCCCGAGTACAGTTATAGAGGCCAGAACGTTGTGTAGCTTTAAAAATAGGTTGGATAAATACATGAGTGGATGTGGGTGGGTGTGAGTTGGACCTGATAGCTTGTGCTACCAGGTCGGTTGCCGTGTTCCTCCCTTAAGTCAATGTGACCTGACCTGACTAGGTTGGGTGCATTGGCTTAAGCCGGTAGGAGACTTGGACCTGCCTCACATGGGCCAGTAGGCCTTCTGCAGTGTTCCTTCGTTCTTATGTTCTTATGTATGTTTCCAGCCACTATAACGTTAAGAGAACATAAATAATGTCTGTATTACGTTCTGTTAGAATTGGTTAAATTTGGTACTTTACGCTAATCTAACCTGACCTAAAATAACGTTAGTAGAGAAATTTTTACAAGTCATAGTGCAAAAAAACGAAACTACGTCTCTCTTCCGTCTATCTGTCTCTGTCTGTCAGTCTCTCATCCATTAGGCTGGTAAAAAGAATGATCTAATTAGTGGACCCTACACGTGATCTTTGCAAGTCCTGCTGCGCTCGTTCTGAGTCGTCGGCTTGTATGAAAAAACTCGAGCAATATATGTATATATATATGTTAATATATATATGTATATATATATATATATATATATATATATATATATATATATATATATATATATATATATATAAAACACAGCTATTGCATACATTCTGGCTGCTTGACTAGTTCTGTCCAGTACGCACAGGACTTAACCCTCTATATATGTCAAGTGCAATGAATGTTGGAGCTCTGGCAATTCATGTTTGATTCCTGGCGTATTTATGAATGCATGACTTTCAATACTACGCTATAAACGAAATTGTTTATCGTACTACCATCAGTTTATGTTCTCTTCTCGATTTCTTTATTATTATAAATGCTAATATTTCACTTTTTGAATGAAATATGAAAAGATCATCAAAAATAATAGGTTTATTATTTTTTACATCATATATGCTTTTGACCCATCTTAATTCATTTTTAGAAATTTAAGATTTTTGAAAAATTGATATATGTCATTTTTACTTATTTATGACTATTTTTTTTTTCAAATTTTAATTCTCTTGCAAGGCACAGAGAACTTATTGGCTCTTGTACTTAGTACACATCCTTCCTAGACAACCATCCTGACGTCAGGTAAGTCACAGAAAAACATTTCAGGTAAAAATTATGTATTTAAGCTTAGGTTAAATTTGGCTAGGTTAGTTTAAGCTACGCTAGAATAGGTTAAAGTTTGGTTGGGTGAAGTTAGACAAGTTTTGGGTAGATTAGGTTAGTTCAGTTTATATTTGGCTAGGTTAGGTTTAGATAGGTTTGCCAAAACTGTCCGACCACAAGCAATCAGTGACATTTGCTCAGTATTATTTTACCCAAACCAAAACTGCAATGAACATCAAAATGGTATACAATACCGACAGGTTGTTAGGTAAGACACATATGCAACAGTTAGACAACTTTATTCCGAAACGTTTCGCCTACACAGTAGGCTTCTTCAGTCGAATACAGAAAATAGGCAGGAACAATACCGACAGGATGAACATATAATCGTATACAATACGACAGGATTGGGTTTGGGAAGACACATAATGCAACACTTAGACAACTTTATTCCGAAACGTTTCGCCTACACAGTAGGCTTCTTCAGTCGAATACAGAAAGTAGGCAGGAACAGTAGAGATGTGAAGACGATGTAATCAGTCCATCACCCTTGTAGTCGTAGAATTTGAGGTTGTCAGTCCCTCGGCCTGGAGAAGTTTTAGTTCCATAGTTCAGGAACATCTGGAGATCAAGCGACAGTGCGGAGACTTAAATACTGTCGGAAGGAGAGGTGCAGGTAGTATAGTAGTAGTAGTAGTAAGTAGTTTAGAGGCAACTGAGAGGTCAGTCCCTCCATCCTCGGCCTGGAGAAGTTCAGTTCCTGACTATGGAACTGAACTTCTCCAGGCCGAGGGACTGACAACCTCAAATTCTACGACTACAAGGGTGATGGACTGATTACATCGTCTTCACATCTCTACTGTTCCTGCCTATTTTCTGTATTCGACTGAAGAAGCCTACTGTGTAGGCGAAACGTTTCGGAATAAAGTTGTCTAACTGTTGCATATGTGAAAGTTAAGACACATGTGCAACATCTGGATATCTTTATTGTAGACGTTTCGCCATCCAGTGGCTTTATCAATACAGATTCTAGGACATATGTGTCTTACCTAACAAAACTGCAATATTGTTTATTTTTTTGTTTACCTATTATGATCTGTGACCGGTAATTGCTGAAGTCCTTAAACAGCAATATATTTATGGCTTTTAAATAATATCCTTTCAACCCATTAGTGATCCTGGCTCAGACACCCACCTTGATATCGGGTCTTGCAGTGATCCAGGGCATGATGAAACGAGCCCTTGCCCTGATGGTTTTGACCAAGCGTAGCCGGGCGCTGGGGCAGAAATTCCTTATGCCTTCAGGCTTCCTTCTAAAGTAGTAATAGTTCTTCCTCCTCCAGAAACGGATAACCTGAGGAAGGTCGAGAGACAGAGGCATGTTGAGGGTAAGACGCTCTCGACCAAAGGTTGCAGGTAAATCATAAAGTACGTAGCAGTAAGAGCTACTTGTGGAGCAATGCAATTCATGAACATATATGAATATGCAACAATGCAACGGGATTGGAGAAAAAGCAGCTCTAGGCTTTTCGAGCTGTCACCAGTCTGTATTCAGGCTTTGCAATAACAAAACTGAGGAGAGAGAATTCAGACACCGTCAGCCATTATCATTACAGGACAAACGCAAGCAGAGAACAATGGCTGACAGAATCAGAATGATCTCACCTCCAAGTTTCCAGTTTCTTGCGATTGCAAATCTCTTGCAGACTGATTACCTTTGGTAAGTTCCGAGTGTTTTTCTACTCCCAGAGCCCGGCCTTGGGACAGGCTCGTGACAGGTGACAGTCCGAAAGGTCTAGAGCTCCTCTTCCTCCAATCCCGTGGTTTTGTTTCACATTATATATATATATATATATATATATATATATATATATATATATATATATATATATATATATTGTGCCGAATAGGCAGAACTTGCGATCTTGGCTTAAATAGCAACGCTCATCTTGCCATATAGGACAAGCGAAAATTTGTGTATGCAACAATTTCGCCAAAATCATTTTGAACCTAACGAAAATATATATTTCACTGTGTTTGTTTAGTATTAAATTATTGTAAACAAATCTAAAATATATATAGTTGGGTTAAGCTAAAATAAATTGTTCTTGTTATAATAAGGTTAGGTAAGTTTTCTAAGATTCTTTTGGTGCAAAATTAAAATTTTTTACATTAACATTAATGAAAAAAAATATATCTTTAAAACGTACAAGAGAAAGTTTTAGAAAGGACTTAATTTTAAATGAGTTCTTGCTAATTGACCAGTTTTTCATATTCGGCACACATATATATATATATATATATAATGATTAGTAATTTGATAGTTATGTATAGTTATTAATATTATATATATTATTATATTGTGTGTGGTGTGTGTGTGTGTGTGTGTGTGTGTGTGTGTGTACTCGCCTAGTTGTACTCGCCTAGCAGTGTTTGCAAAGGTCGAGTCATAGCTCCTGGCCTCGTCTCTTCACTGCCGTATGGCACATACCTACACATAGTGCATCTCTGCTAAAGCTAGATGATCCTGCCTCCATACATCGCTTCATCAAACTATTCCACTTCTTGACTACTCTGTGACTGAAGAATTTCCTAACTTCCTGTGATTCATCGTGTCTCAATTTCAATTGCCCCTTGTTGGGTCTTCTCTGTGTGTGCTGTGTGTGTGTGCTCTTGTGTGTGTCATGTGTGTGTTGTCATGGGTGTATGTGTGTGTGTGTCTGTGTGTCCTGTGTTGTGTGTCTGTGTGTGTCTGTGTGTGTGTGTCTGTGTGTGTCTGTGTGTGTCTGTGTTGTGTGTGTTGTGGTGTGTGTGTCTGTGTGTGTGTGTGTGTGTGTTGTGTGTGTGTGTCTGTGTCTGTCTGTGGTGTGTGTGTTGTCTGTGTGTGTGTCTGTTTTTCTGTGTTGTGTGTCTGGAATAAGTAGTTGATTACTAAAATGCGGAGAGTGAGGCTCAGCTTAAGATATGTGAAAGCAACAAGGGATTTAGACGGATGTTGGGAGAGGTGTTGAATTTATAAAAAAAAAAAAAATGGCATAAAGAGGGAATTGTCACAGTTACTGTTTGTCAATAGCATAGTTCTATAGAGAAATTCTCTAGAGAAGTTGCAAAGGATAGCAAAGAAATGTAGGAGGTTGTGTACAGCAAATAAATTAAAATTGGGTATAAAAAAAGAGCCAAGTGATGACAGTAACAAAATGTCTAGGCAATATGAGTTTCCATATCTGATTAAAGGGAGAGAATATGGAGAAAGTGAATGTGTCTAGGTACCGGAGACTCGACATATCTGCCGAGGGACCTATGAAGGACGAGCAAACCATAGAACAAACAAGGGGGGGAAATGGTGAATAGTGTGTTGAGGCATCTATGGAAAGAAAGAAATTTATAGTGGAGGCGAAAATGTGAATGTACAGAGTAGAGCGGTACCAACACTGAAATATGGTTGTTAGGCATGGACATCAAATGTTGCAGTGAGGTGGTTGTAGGCCGCGGAGATGTCATGTTTGAGAGGAATGTGTCATGTGAATATTATGCATAGAATTAGCACCGCAAAACTTAGAAAAAATCATAGGGAAGATGCAGAATTGATGACTTGTTTGAGTATTTAGGTAGTATGGAGCAAAATAGGATAACCAAGAAGGTGTATAAATCTGAGGTAGTAATAAGAAGGGGTATGGGTCATGACAGAAAAGGATGAAAGGCGGTGGGTAATGGGGTTTTGAGGGTTAGGGGGCTTGAGCATCCAACAAGCTTGTGTGACTGCTGTCGGAAACAGAAGAAACCTGTTAGCTGGACTTGGCTCCAGTGAGAGTAGGAATGTTTCTCATCATGGGGATCTCTTCACTTGTGTTGCCTGGGGCGATTCTTACAAGACAGTGAATGAAAGATAGTGAATGTGTTTCCTTTTTTTTTAGATTCACCCTTCATTGCAGAAAGACTGGCTTACACACAACAAGAGGAGTCAACTCGTTTGTGGGTATGACACCGACTTACCTCGGGTCGGCAGTCCAGCAGGTCACCGAGCGCCTTGGCAGAGTCGGCCTCCAGCCTGGGGTCAGCCTTGGGGCCCAGAAGCTTCCTCCACACAAAGAAAGGCTCGAACACGTACATGGCCTCCCCTCCCGAGGTCAGCAGTTCTCCAGTGTAAGATGATCCTGCTCGCTGGTAAGTTAGTAGCAGCACCTGCACACCGGAGAGGCGATGAACTGCTCAAGTGCCAGCAAAATACTCGGACATGAAAAAATCAGAAGCTGAGACACTGATGTGTGTCAGTAATAAGGCCCAATGGATTTGCATGAAGAGATACAAGCAACAGGACTCCTAAGGTTAAACTGGATCTGTATACATGTAATGAAAAGTGGTATGGGGATTTCGGACGAGTTCAACTTGATAAAGGCACAAAAATCAGTAACCTTGAACTTTATTCACACAACGTTTCCCTCGCACAGCACGATTTTTCAAGTTTGCTGTGCAGGTGATATATTGTCTGAATATAGTTAAAAATTACTGCTTTCATTGTTAATGGCTGGTCTAAACATTGCAGCACAAACCATACCACGGGCGGAGAATAGAACCCGCGATCACGGGTTCTATCCCCGCCCGTGGTATGGTTTGTTTGCAATCGTGTTATTACTATTTCGTGAGTCATTGCAGCACAATCCTGCTCTCCACATCACAAGATGAACAGTAAGTCACTCACTATCATGACTATGAACTGAAAATTTTTTTCCCTTCTGGTGGTGGTGGGAGGAGGGGAGGAAGGAAGGAGGGAGGAGGGGTGGAAAGGGGGAGGGGGGTTACTCTTCAGAAAACAGCGCAATGGTTCCTAATATTGCTCTTACTCATTCACTGGTTAACTAGCTTGCCATTGTCAGGTCTCACACCCTCTTTGAAAACTGAAAACCCATTATATAATATTGTTAACTACATAAGATTCTGGTAATCTTTTGATCACCTAATATATAATATAGAACTCAATATATATCACGGAATAAACATATGCTGTATATACGTTTGAAAATATGTAGAGACTAATCGTCCTTCTAAGACAGAGGTGACACGACACAATTTACAGATAGAAATCGTAGTTTTTCGCTAAGAAAAAAGTCATATGTAAGAGCCACGTGTTTAACAGCCAAAATATGGCAGCCTACCACAACGAAATTATGTTTAAATATTGTGTATAAGAATATATTTATCATGTTGATTCTTGTTTGTCCAGGTTTCTAATTTCCAAAATAAAGCGGATTATACAAGATTAGATTAAGGTGGTCAGGTACATGACCAGGAGTAGTTGGACGTAAGACCTACCTTGCATTGGTGAGTAAACTTACTTTAGTGCTACTTCTTCCCTATATTCTTATGTTATTGGCTTCAAGGGATGCACTTACACTTACATTTCCGTGATGTTTCATTATTAATTTACCTGTAAGTGTTACTGAGAGGCCTCTTGTTAATACTCATAGGTAGGCAGGGCTATTGGGGAATTATGATGGTCGCGGGAGGGTGAGGAGATTTTCTCTTCTGATTATCCGATGAGAATGACTGACCTCGACCCTCTCCTGGGGCAACGACCCTATAACAGGTACCAGGCACGAACAGTGGTGCTTCCCAAGGGAGGTCGTCGTCTCTCTCCTGTCTCAATTATAGAGGACCTGATAAAAATAACGAGTTCAGCAAAGGTTAGTCAGCAACCACTGCTGAAGTGGCCCACCAAATGGCCAGCTCCAGTGCTGCACGTCAGCACTGGGACTGCTTTTTGTCGCGTTCCCGTCGTATGAGGCTCGTGCCGTATGTTTTTCTTGCCGAATGAACCCTCAACTACAAGAAAATTGATCATAACAAAGGGTGTCTTACAAGGGATAAGTGTTTCGCCTTTTATTGTTCAGAGTCTACAATTAACATTAACCACCTTGCCGAGAAAATAAATAGCCACATAAATTTCAAGGGGACAAGGGACATATAGAATGCTTAAGACACATGGGCGACGGTTGGGTATCCTTATTGTTGAAACGTTTCAACAAGACATCCATCTCTTGCACATGTGTCTTAATCACCAACTTGTCGGTATTTTATATCATTTCAACGTATGGGACATATCACTTACGAAGATGTTATCACTAACATGTCAGGTCACCCGCACTCGGCTGGGCGTCGGCTACAACTTAAGTGACGTGACTATTTACCTTATTTATATAACCGTGATATATTTGCTTCTTTGTACTGATAATAAGGACATAAGATAGAGATCGAAATGTAAATATTTCTATCCTGTTTTTGATGTCATTTGAGTTCTGACACCACACACACCACACACACACACACACACACACACACACACACACACACACACACACACACACAACTAACCCCTGCAACCAGAATTAGGCGATAACCAGAGGTGACATGATTTAAAAGTACAAAATCCTCAAGGAATTACAGGAAAACTGTTATAAGGAGGGTCTCAGTAGACGAGGTCCAGCTGAAGTTAAAAGCACAGATGAGTCACGGGGATGTTAGAAAATACTTCTTTAGCCTAGATTAGAGTGGCGAGGAAATACAACTTAGTGAAATGGTAGAGACAGAATTCATACGTAGCTTTAAGGATAGGCATGATAGGGCTTACGCAGCCAGGCGAGTTGAAGATTGAGACACTTATGCAGCATATGGAAATCTTTATTCAGAAACATTCTACAAGATTGATGGACTAACACATGGGAACTCCGGGTTGAGGGAAACTGATTACCTCTCCCTCTCTCCTTACCCCTTTCCTCTTGTTTTGGGACGATGAAGCCACTTGGGGCGAAACGTTTCTGAATAAAGATTTCCATATGCTGCATAAGTGTCTCAATCTTCAACTTGTCGGTTTTTCAAACCATTCATCGCAGCCAGGCGAGAACGAAACTAGTAGCTACCAGCAAAAAGGCGGGGTCAGGACCTGTGAATCGACCCCTGCAACCACATACAAGTGAGTACATATAGGACATACATACATACATACACACACACACACACACACACACACCACACACACACCACAAACACACACACACACACACACACACACACAAAGCTAAGAAGAGATACGATAAAGCTCTTGGAGCAGGGAGAGTGTGGACCTAGTAGAGATCAGCGAAGAGGCGGGGCCAGGAGCTGTGACTCATCCCCTGCAACCACAAATAGGTGAAGATGTCAAGATATGTAAATTATAACCTAGATATACATAACATGGCACAGAATGGTCGAAGACATATTAAATGCTTGTTGTTTTTCAAACGTTTCAAATTAATGACGTACAATACTGATAAGTTGACGAATAAGACGCATGTGCAACACTTAGGTCTCTTTATTGCCAAGAGATACATGAAATACCTGTGTCGCATTTGTATTTTTGTCATCAACTTTAAAAAAAATCAGAAATTCGAAGTGGTTCAAGTAAAACGTCAGGGCAGCGACGCTCTTACCAGTCACAAATTGGGAAACTGGTAACTTTGCAGAGGCCAGGACTGTGACCCAGTTACCACTGTCACGGTATCATCGTCAATGAGCTGGGAGAACGTAATAAACGATTATCACTATTTCGGATTATCACTATTATTACTATTATTATTATTAGGCACACAATTGAATTTGTAATTAAAACATGATTTGTGAATACAGCCAAGAGAACAAGCAACCGAATATAGCTGTCACCCACATCCCGTCCTGCACTGTAAATAACGAAAGTTTATCCAACTATTTAAGAGATAATGTTATCGTCCTTCAATGAAAATTGATGGAGGTTATTTAAGGGCAGACTAACTTAGGCTAATTTATACATATATAAAAAAACATTTACTTCTGGTCTTGTGTTTGATTGTACGGAAAACGATGTAACAAGATCGATAATGAAGTTGCTATTTAGAGGACAGGTTGGTAGTTGATATCACAGCTTCTGACTCGGGTAATAATATCACGGCTCCCTGCTCTCAAAATATTATTACATCTCCCGACTTCCGTAATAATATCACAAATATTGTATCACAAATATTGCCCTCCCTCGAGCTTCTGATAAATCACTTACTTTGTTAGTTATGAGTTATTTATGGAAAATTATTTTAATAATGTACGCTGGAACGCTCCCGCAAACCAATTATTTTTGTACCCTGCCCTTGGCAAGATTGTTATAACTTTTAGTTTAGAAAAAATAAAATCGGCTGGAAAAATTTTGCAGTTGAGTTTGTAAGTCAGTTCATGTAACATGTTGTCTAGTGTATATACTTTCAATATTTATTGGACCAAAAGTTAACAAGTTAGCCCATGGGCTGGAGTTCAACACCTACAAATATTCTTTTCTTTAAAATCTTTATCAGGTTTCGACCTGCGCTGGCCTGAAGCCTTCGGCTGGCCCGCCCTGTGATAGCTCTCGGCTAGGCTGATGCATCTGTCTGTGGTAGGTGTGTGTTTACCAGTGTGATGGTATCAGTTGTGAGGGTGTGGCACGCATAGGCTACAACTGCCTCAGCTGTGTCATACAGACTGAGGGGGTTAGCGCAGTCTTGCTGTTACCTGGCAGTTCAGTAGGCAATGCTCGAGGGAAAGTTAATCCTCTTAGCCAGTTCTTTCTTGTTCTGATACATGCTTGCTTATTTACCACGTCTGGGGTACCCGACAGTGGAAATTGGGCTAGAAACCAGGTACTTTATTTACTTTGTTCTTTAGCATACTGATAGTTTTTGTTCATTCTCTTCATCGACGAAAGTGCCTCATTTATATCATGTGGCAAAGTTCTGGTCTCCGAATTACATAAAGGACGTAAATGTACTGGTATGGTAACACCGGCCCATCTTCATAATAAGATCAGCACTGTTCATCACTATGGCTAAGAACTTCAAATGTTTGACTGTGATGCAGAATAACACGTAGCTATATTAAGCAGTCTTTGCGAAAATAGCTATACAGTCCTATGATTTTTCCCCAGCCTCCAACTTGGGTTAGCTTAAACATAAAACCTATAGAAAAGCACCTAGAGTTAACCGAGTTGGCAATATGGTCATGTTGCTTAAAAGGTTTTCGAAACAGTCTTCACACCAGGATATTTTCCAGGCAGGATTACAGTGCAATATGTCTAAGACCTCAATCTAGATGGAAAGTACCTAACAGAAATGGCTTTACACATCTCAGGCAGCAAGATTTTCACCCAATATAGGGAACTGGTTTGCTATATTCTCTAAGACGACTTTATTAAGAACACCCTTCTAGTACTGGATAGGGCCTCCCTTTGGAGGCATGGATTCAACAAGGTACTGGAAACATACCTAAGAGAGCCTGGTTCCAAACCATACCCCGGCCGGATTGAACCCGCGGTCAGAGAGTCTCAAAACTCCAGCCCGTCGCGTTAGCCACTAGACCAGTGGCTATCTTGTTGACAATGATAGCATCACGCAATTACTGCAGATTTGTCAGCTTCACATTCCAACTATGAATCTCCCGTTCTACCACATTCCAAAGGTTTACGCCAAATTCTGACACTAACATCTGCATGTCTCAGCAGAAATCACGATTCGTCAGACCAGGCAACGTGTTTTCAATCTTCAACTGTCCAGTTTTAGTGAGCTAATGCCCACTGTAGTCTCAGTTTCCTGTTATTAGCTGACAGGAGAGGAACCTGGTGTGGGCTTCTGGTGTTGAATTGCATACGCTTCAAGGCTCGACGTATTGTGCGTTCAGAGATGCTTTTCTGCATACCACAGTAACACGTTGTTATTTGAGTTACTATCACCTACCTGTCAGCTTGAACTAGTCTGGTCATTCTCCTCTGACCTCTCCAACAAGGCGTTTTCGCCCACAGAACTGCCGCTCACTAGATGTTTTGTGTTTCTCATACCATTCTCTGTAAATTCTAGAGACTCTTGTGCCTGAAAATCCCAGAACAGCAGTTTCTGAGACTCTTAAATCACCCCGTCTGGCACCAACAATTATTATACGGTAAAAATCACTTACATTACATTCCTTCCCCATTCTGATGGTTGGTCCGAATAACAACTGAACATTGAACATTAAAATGGTATAAAATACCGACAGGTTGTTAGGTAACAACAACTGAACATCTTGACCATGTCTGAATGCGTTTAGGCATTGAGATGTTGCCATGGGACTGGCTGATTACATATTTGCATTAAAAAGCAGGTGTACAGGTGTACCCAATACAGTGGCCACTGAATGTAGTTCTAGCCTAAGAAACAGTGGCACAGGTTATGATGAACAAAAAGTAATGCATTGTTGTTCTGCGAAATATGTTAAAAGTCTTTGATAAGATATAGCACATTGGACTTAAGAACAAGTCCTTTATTTGAATCTGTTCTAAATCTTCATAAAATCCCTGTGCGTAGGAATTAAGCTGGTTGGCTACTGAGAAATTATTTTCCATTTCTTTGTAGGGTTCTCCCTCAATAAGAACATAAAAACATAAGAACGAAGGAACACTGCAACAGGCCTACTGGCCCATGCGAGGCAGGTCCAAGTCTCCTACCGGCTTAAGCCAATGCACCCAACCTAGTCAGGTCAGGTCACATTGACTTAAGGGAGGAACACGGCAACCGACCTGGTAGCACAAGCTATCAGGACCAACTCACACCCACCCACATCCACTCGTGTATTTATCCAACCTATTTTTAAAGCTACACAACGTTCTGGCCTCTATAATTGTACTTGGGAGTTTGTTCCACTCATCCACAACTCTATTACCAAACCATACTTTCCTATATCCTTCCTGAATCTGAATTTTTCCAACTTAAAACCATTGCTGCGAGTCCTGTCTAGGCTAGATATTTTCAGAACACTATTTACATCCCCTTTATTTATTCCTGTCCTTCCATTTATACACCCAATCATATCCCCCCTAATTCTACGTCTTTCTAGAGAGTGCAGATTCAGGGCCCTTAGTCTATCCTCATTTAAAGGGAAATTTCTGAAACATGGGATCAACTTTGTCATCCTCCTTTGTAAAAATTTTCCAGAGCATTTTTTATCCATTCTGTAATGCGGTGACCAAAACTGTGCAGCATAATCTAAATGAGGCCCAACCAAGGATGTATAGAGTTGAAGAACAACCTGAGACCCTATTATTCAAAGCTTCTTGAAAATGAAGCCAAGGATTCTATTAGCTTTATTATTGCGAACACTTATGCACTGTTGTCTTGGTCTCAGATTACTGCTAATCAGAACTCCTAAATCTTTTTCGCAATCCGTAATATTAAGATCTACATTATTTAGTTTAATATGTGGCAGGGTTTTATTGTCCGTCCAACATTTAGAATTTTTGCATTTGTCTATATTAAACTGCATCTGCCACTTCTCTGACCACTGCATCAGTCTATTCAAATCTTCCTGGAGTGCTCTAATGTCCTCGTCAGAATGAATCCGACGGCCTATTCTGGTGTCATCGGCAAACTTGCTGATGATGTCGCTCTTTATGCCCTCATCTATGTCGTTTATGTATATTGTGAATAGCAGGGGGCCCAACACTGACCCCTGTGGAACCACCGCTCGTGACGCTTCCCCACTCTGATTTCTCCCCATTTATGCAAACTCTCTGCTGCCTATTTGTCAACCATGCCTCTACCCCAGGAAAAAAATTTCCCCTTTCCTTTTCCCATGTGCCTTAATTTTCCTCAATATCTCTGATATGGGACCCTGTCAAAAGCCTTACTGAAGTCCATATACACAATATCATATTCATTACCATGATCTACCTCCTCAAATACCTTAGTGAAAAATTTTAATAAATTCGTAAGGCAGGAACGCCCCTTTGTAAAACCAGCTGAGATTCGTTGATTAATTTATGCTTTCAAGGTGGCTACGAACTGCCTCGGCAATTATTGATTCCATAAGTTTTCCCCACTATGGAGGTTGGCTTATTGGTCTATAGTTCGAAGCTAAGGACCTGTCACCTGCTTTGAAAATAGGTATCACATTTTCCATTTTCCACTTATCTGACACCATGCCAGTTTCCCAGATATGTTTTAAAAAAATTAGCCAAAGGTTTTTCTAAGCTCCCCCTTTACATTCCTTAGAACCCTTGCATACAGTTCATCAGGGGCCCGGGGATTTGTTAGGTTTTTAATTTATCTATTTGCCTAAGGGCCATGCACTTGTGACCCTAATAGTGCACAGTTTATTATCGTCCTGTCTACATAAGTTATCATTTCTGGAATATTCCCCTGGTATCCTCCTGTTTAAAAAAATGAGAGGAAGTAGTGTTAAAAATTCTACACATTTCCTATCACAGTCAGTGAGCTGACCCGAGGAACTTTTGAGTGGGCCCATCTTGTCCCTGATCTACTTCTGTATACCTGAAAGAATCCTTTTGGGTTAGTCTTCGATTCTCTTGCAACTTTAACCTCATAATCTCTTTTTGATTTTCTAATTCCCTTTTTTATTTCTCTCTTTAACTGACTGAATATATCGATTTCTTAATTGCCCCTCTCCTCTTTTGATTTGCCTATATATGCCTCTCTCTTTTGACCAATCAGATATTTTAATCTATTGTTCATCCATTTAGGATCATTTTTGTTTGATCTGATTTCCCTATTTGGAACATAATTTGACTGAGCAGCTAGAACTATGCCCTGGAAAGCGTCATATCGGCAACCATCACCACCTACCTGACCCTTAGTCAGGTCATTCCAGTTCAGCCCACCTAAGTCAGGGACGGAGACTTGATTGCCATTATTAGGGGAATTCCATGATATATTAAAACTGAGTGATTTGTGATCACTTTCCCCAAGCTCATCATTAGCCTCAAGATTATTAATTAGCGTTTCCCTACTGGCAAGAACCAAGTCAAGGAGGTTATTTCCCCTAGTTGGCTCTGTCACAAACTTTTAAAAAAAAACAATCCTGGATCGTATCAAGAAAGTCACCTGACTCTAAATTTCCTGTCAAATTTCTCCAGTCAATCTGTCTATAGTTGAAATCTACCATTGGCACAACATTTTCGTATGTAGATTCCTTACGAATTTCGTCCCATAGAAGTTTACTGCTATCATCACCAACATCTGTATACACTATACACCGTAGATATTCCAAATCCATTTCGAGGGGGAGGGCAATTTAGAAATTAGAATTTGCATATTGAATATAAAATAGACAAGGAACATGTAGATAAAATAGAAAAAGTTAAGAAATATATCACAAAAATGACATATATTGAGTAGTATGAATTATGAAGAAATTCTCAAAAAAATAAGAGAAGACAACTATATAGTCATAAAATTATAAGAGCAAATTGATAATGAAGATTTTTTAACACCATCTATAGGGAAAACAAGCGGCAGCATTAATAGACTAACATGCCACTAAAAAATATTTCTTCACAGGGTGACACATTGCTGAAATGTGATCCAAGAGGAGGCAGTGTGCACTGCACCCACAGGAAACTTAAATAAAATATATGAAAAACAATGAAGGAACACCAGGAGCATAACTCTGCTCCTGTAGTCACAATTAGATAATCACAACGTCATTCAAACACACTGGCTTACCTTCATGATAGGATGATCTTTGCTTGTCTCGTTAATAGAATAGAAGCCGTGGAAAATAAGGTTATTGTGGAAGCCATGATCTGGCACCTGCAGGGTAGGGGTTGATTCCTCTGCCTTCTCATTCTCTGTTCTTTCGCCACTCTTTTTATCTTCCCATTTAATATTGTTTCCTTCAGCTACAGCAATATCTTCCTTGTTTATCACTGGCTTTATATCCTTGGCAGTGTCTTTACCATGTGTTGCTATGTATCGCGGCTTAATTAATCCACCTTTTCGTAGCTTGTTTCGTGGGTTAATTGTATCGGCAGTAGTCCTACCTCCTTTGAAATTATCCTTATGAGTGTGTTTCCTCGGAGGTGTATTATTTTTCTCTGGCAACTTGTTTACTTTGCTGTTTATCTGGCCGACGTCACCAATACCGTCTGCAGCGTAGTAATCATGCGAGCTAAAATCAGTATCAACATATCGCTCTCCTGCCGTATTTCCATTAGCTTTTCTACCATCGCTGATATTTCCATCATCGTCGCTAATTTTAACTTGATGTTCAACCACAACATTGTCATTGACATTTTCACGTCTCTCGTCAGCATCGTCTTCGTTCATGATCATCCGTCCAAGGTGCGGCCTCTCTCTATCTGAAAATCAAGACCAGTAATTTTAGAAACTTAAGTGCCATTATTTTATTAAAAGATGTATAGTAAAGTATATAGGTCGTTGTATAGGGAAATACACTGTATGCATGACTACCCCATAACAAAAGAAACGAACGCTATACATAACGCAATGAACACTGTGTATAACTCGACTAAAGAAAGCGTAATAACACGCAAACGAACCACGTTCGGATGGGGAATGAACTCAAAGCAAATAAAACCAATTTCATGAATGCATTCTGGCTCAGTTTCTCGGTTATTTGATTGCATCCTAGGTTTTAAGGTAGCTTGGGTTCACATTTCAATCTGCTAAACTCGATTTGTTCCCAAGATTCGCAGTTACTTATAACAATCTACACTTGACCGAGAAGCGATATCCCGTCTCTACCTGGGATGTCGCTTACACCTATCCAATTCAGATTTATACACACTCTGGATAAACCTGTCTATATGTAGCCTCTTTATTTTTGCTACTGCATTGTTAGAAGTGAAAGTTTCGGTGGAAAAACGTCTCCTAGGGAACTATATCTAGTAATTTTCTGACGAAGAGTAACGTTAATACCTGCCACCCACCTCATGTTTTAATGTTACAATAAATTTTCTTAAGAGGGCTGCAACATTAAGGGTAAACCTATTATCTGAAAGGGATGCCAGTAGGTACGGCACGATGATTACACGCCTCTTGTGTAAGAGATACACTCGTAATCCCACACAGCCTTTGTGCACCTCAGTAAACATTGTGACCTCACTGTTATCTTTGCTCTTGGTCGTAACAGCCGCTTTACCCACTTCTTGAAGTATCTCCCTCTCACCCATCAAGCGGGGGAGTGTCCTGATGCCGCTGAAGGTTTCGTGATGCAAGGAATTGGCAAGGAGCTGTATGACCCCTATGCGTTTAAAGCTCCATGTATATAATAATAATAATTACAACAGCAAGAAGAAGAAGAAGAAGAAGAATTACGGTTTACCGACCACCACACCAAATTCTTCCTTTCCCTCTTCTCTACATGACCTTCAAATCAGTCTCTAGGAGGCCAGCGTTCCACTGCTACCCCCTTAAACATATTTAATAATTTCACTAGGTAATTTTACTATATTTAATTGTAAAAAAATTAACTTACGAAAGATTAAGGGTCCATTGGAAATCGAGCCAGGCAAGAGACGAAAAAATCGAAAAAAAATCGAAAAATGAGTTAAGAATGCAGTGACAGGAAGAACAGGAAAATGTTATGGCTAGTTTTGCAAGTGTATGGAATAGGTGGCAAGTTTTTAAGCTCTGTAAAGAAATTTTGTTAGGAAGAGTGAGGCTCGGAGTTTGGTGGATAAGGATAAAGAGGCTAATTTACCATTAAAAATGGGCCCGAGACGAAGATGCTTGATTTGATGTTATGAAGCAAGGTCGTTTTAAAATATAATGGCTGATATAAAGTGGGAGACGTAACTTGCTGTTTGCAGATGACACTGTACTGTTAGGAGATTCAGAAGAGAATTTGCATAAATTGCTGGAGGATATAAAAAAAAAATGTGTATAAGAAAGAAGGGAAAAAATTGAACGCCATCGAGGAACGGAACATGTGAATAAGAGAATAGTGAATCAAATATAGATTATATTGTATGGAAAGAGTATGGAGGAAAGGAATGTACTTAGTGTCTTACGAGTGAATGTGTCAACAGACTGGGTCTGAGAAATGAGGAGAGCCACAGAATATGAGGAGAAATTAGCAGGTGTCGATGAATCTATATCAGCGAACAAGGATATCGACACTATGTGTGTGTGTGTGTGTGTGTGTGTACTCACCTAGTTATACTCACCTAGTTGAGATTGCAGGGGTCGAGTCCTAGCTCCTGGCCCCGCCTCGTCACTGGTCGCTACTAGGTCACTCTCCCTGTACCGTGAGCTTTATCATACCTCTGCTTAAAGCTATGTATGGATTTTGCCTCCACTACATCGCTTCCCAAACTATTTCACTTCCTGAGTACTCTGTGGCTGAAGAAATACTTCCTAACATCCCTGTGATTCATCTGTGTCTTCAACTTCCAACTGTGTCCCCTTGTTGCTGTGTCTCATCTCTGGAACATCCTGTCTTTGTCCACCTTGTCAATTCCTCTCAGTATTTTGTATGTCGTTATCATGTCCTCCCTATCTCTCCTGTCTTCCAGTGTCGTCAGGTCGGTTTCCCTTAACCTCTCCTCGTAGGACATACCCCTTAGCTCTGGGACTAGTCTTGTTGCAAACCTCTGCACTTTCTCTAGTTTCTTTACGTGCTTGGCTAGGTGTGGGTTCCAAACTGGTGCCGTATACTCCAATATGGGCCTAACGTACACGGTGTACAGGCCCCTGAATGATTCCTTATTAAGATGTCGGAATGCTGTTCTTGGTTTGCTAGGCGCCCCTATGCTGCAGCAGTTTTTTGGTTGATGTGCGCTTCAGGAGATGTGCCTGGTGTTATACTCGCCCCAAGATATTTTTCCTTGAGTGAGGTTTGTAGTCTCTGGCCCCCTAGACTGTACTTCGTCTGCGGTCTTCTTTGCCCGTCCCCAATCTTCATGACTTTGCACTTGGTGGGGTTGAACTCCAGAAGCCAATTGCTGGACCAGGTCTGCAGCCTTTTGTGTGGGTGTTGTGGTGTTTTGGTGTGTGTGTGTACTCACCTAATTGTCCCCTACTCACCTAATTGTGGTTGCAGGGGTCGAGACTCAGCTCCTGGCCCCGCCTCTCCACTGATCGCTACTGGGTCCTCTCTCTCTGCTTCCTGAGCTTTGTCATACCTCATCTTAAAACTATGTAATGTTCTTGCCTCCACTACTTCACTTGCTAGGCTATTCCACTTGCTGACAACTCTATGACTGAAGAAATACTTCCTAACGTCCCTGTGACTCGTCTGAGTCTTCAGCTTCCAGTTGTGCCCCTTTTGTCCCTGTGTCCCCTCCTGGAACATCCATCTCTGTCCAAACCTGTCTATTCCCCGCAGTATCTGTATGTCGTTACATGTCTCCCCTGACCCTCTGTCCTCCAGTGTGGGTCAGTCCGATTTCCCTTAACCTTTCCTCGTACGACATTCCTTGAGCTCTGGGACTAGCCTTTTTGGGAAAACCTTTGTACTTTCTCTAACTTCTTGACGTGCTTGATCAGGTGGGGGTTCCAGACGGGTGCTGCATACTCCAGTATTGGCCTAACATACACAGTGTACAGTGTCTTGAACGATTCCTTATTAAGGTATCGGAACGCTATTCTCGGGTTTGCCAGGCGCCCGTATGCTGCAGGGGGTTAATTTGGTTAAAGTGTGCCTCCGGTGATGGGGCTCGGTGTTAGGGTCACCCCAAGGTCTTTTCTCCCTGAGTGAGGTCTGTAGTCTTTGTCCACCTAGCCCATACTCTGTCGCGGTCTTCTTTGCCCCTCCCCAATCTTCATGACTTGCATTTTGGCTGGATTGAATTCGAGAAGCCAGTTGCTGGATCACATGTCCAGCCTGTCCAGGTCTCTTTGCAGTCCTGCCTCATCCTCGTCCGTTTAATTCTTCTCATTTAACTTTACGTCATCTGCGAACAGGGACACTCAGAGTCTATTCCTTCCATCATGTCGTTCCCCATATATCAAAAATAGCACTGGTCCTAGAACTGACCCCTGTGGGACCCCGCTCGTAACAGGCGCCCACTGTGAACCTCTTCACGTACCATGACCGTTGCTGCCTCCCGTCAGGTATTCTCTTATCCATTGCAGTGCCCCCTTTTACGTGCGCCTGATCCTCCAGCTTCTGCACTAATCTCTTGTGGGGAACTGTCAAAGGCCTTCCTGCAGTCTAGGAAAACGCAATCTACCCACCCCTCTCTCTCGTGCTTACTTCTGTTACCTTGTCATAAAACTCCAGGGGGGGGGGGTTTTGTGTGTGTGTGTGTGTGTGTGTGTGTGTGTGTGTGTGTGTGTGTGTGTGTGTGTGTGTGGGGGGGGGGAAATATTTTGCGTGAAATTAATGTCTAGTGTGAATATTATGTTTGAAATAAAAAGTTAAATAAAAAACAGTGGTAGATAAAAGAGTAGTTAACGGACGCTACCGATTTTGGGAGTGAATGTGCTCTTGGAGTGTGAGCAAGATGTGACGGGATTCGGGGAAAGTGGTTATCCGACCTTGGGTTTTGGAAGCCTTAAATACGATGTGTGCACTTTGAAAGACATGCGGTGATGATGCAGGTCAGCGGATCATCATCATCATCAGATGATCGAGAACTAAAGCACGCGAGGTGGTGAACATATGTCTTCTTTGAGTTGCGCTCTGAATATTCCACTTACGCGTTAAAAGTTATTTCGGTCAAGAACAGAGGAGTTCGATACCTATGGGACAATAACCACTCTCTTCATACCCCCCCCAAAGGTACCGTTTAAACCCTTT